GAATTATGTGTATGTGAGAAATTCCTGGACGTATACTAGATTATACTTTTATGAAAAGTATGAAACATCTTTAAACTGTTTCAACAATCACCAACGTACTTCATCCGTCGGCACATTAACAGTTACTGACTAATAAACTGGCTACAAACTGGCTCCTCTTCCTCCGTTTCATTCCTCCTCCTGTCGCTGCTGACCCGCCGTGTCTTCATCCCCAGAGTCAGAGTCTTGGTCGGAGCCACTTTAAATCAGCGTTCGAATCAGTGCTGAAACTACCCCCTGCCTTTCCAGTCTGGGTACAGATAGCTAATAGGACCAATCATGAGCTACTGGCAGCAGCTAGTACAGTTAGCATATGCAGCAGTGCACCAGTAAGTGAATCCCTGTGTTATAACAGAAAAGGTCAGTGTTGCGACAATCCTCTGATACTTTCATCCTGGTGACAAGGCGTAGCTCCCGAACAAGATTTGACAGTGCTTTTGTTTTTCAGCGACTATCCAACTAATGAAAATTGCGTCAACTCAGACTGTTCACAGCGACTAATGATCAAGTCGACTATCAGGGGGCAGCCCTAGTTTGAAGCCTCTGCGGATCACCTTGTTACTGTATTGCCAGTCGTCAAACTAGTCAAAATAAAACCTTAATTCACTGCAGTTAAATGTGAAAATACTCTACTACTCTCCAAGCTTTAAAGCAAGGGACTAACATTTTAATTACTGAAAGCTTTTTCAGACTTTAATGATGCACAGATGAAGTTTAATGTGTCCTAAAAGACTGTGACCAAACTACAAATGACACAGTTTGGGCTTCAGGTAACACTTTGATAGTTGGGTCCACTGATAGTCAGCAGTGCCTCACCTGAAGAAGACATTGAAGCCGAACATGGTGAACATGATGGCCAGGTAGCCCAGGACGCCCACTGCATAGCTCAGCTTGTAGATCAACAGGAACCACTTGTACACCATCCTGGAAAACACGATCAATCAATTACTCGACCGAGTGATTAATAATTGCAGCTCTGTTCCAATTGTAGAAGGACTAGGAGATAAGTTAATCTCCTGAGAGATGACGCTTGGAATTAAACTGTTAACTAGGATAAATGCTTTGAGTAAGTGTGTCTGTGGTGTGGAGGTCTTTAAATGTTTAAAGCTGTTTGCTCAGCGTCGGTTATTCCTTCCAATGCTACAAATTTAATCTTAAGAGCGATGCAACCGCCTGTAAAGTATATGTAGCTAACAAACATCAGTAGGGCTGGGTATCGTTCAAAAGTCTTTCTTTAGAACATTTATTTTAATAAAAAGGAAATGCATTATATATTAGGGAACAATTACTCACTAGGAGGAAGCTGTTCAAAGACCTGAGAGCAGCTGGAGAAACTTTTTACTCTGCTCACTTTACTAAATTATGAAAATAAAACTTAAATATCTACACAAATATAAGTTATATAAAAACTATATATAACTGTCAACAAACAATATGGGCAGCAATAAATTCAGTCTAATCCAAAGGAGGAGGAGGGAGTAACGTTTATGGTACTGGGAAATAGAGTCAGAGTGAGACGAGCTTATTGCCACTGATGAGTCTTACTCCGCTGGTATCGAAAGTTGGCACCATAAAAGTTTGGTACCCAGCCCTAAATGTAGGCTGATTTATTCAACAGTGTGAAATAGTCTATCAATGTTCTTGCAGTTGGCTTTAATTGCTGTAGACGGCGTTTACTTTCACGTGATCTCTGTGGACAGATTGCATTTATTTGAGTTGTTTTGTTCCTTGTGAAACGGGTCAGATTTGCCCTGGTTGTCTCAGTCAGAGCATCATCATCCAAACCTGTTATAGTCGGATGAAGGATAGGAAGGAAAACATTGGATAAAAAGATCCGATATCGTGCTTCAAGATACAGCCTGGAGCGCCGTTCTTCTCACCTCGGCGTCCTGCAGGACAGCGGCTTGCGAGTGGCCCTGAAGATGACGTAGCTGGTGACGACGGAGAACATCCCCCACATGGACAGAAACCTCCACCAGTAGAGTTTGATGGTGAAGTAAAGAGGAACCACCCACATCTGGACGAGAGTCACCAGCTGAGGAGGAGACGTACAGTTTATTTACTCACACAACACTGCCGTTCTTCTTCACAGTCTGCAGCTATATACAAAGGGGAGCTTTGTCATCGTTCATACTATATTAAATGTATAAAAATAACAGTAGAGAACAAATGTTAAAGTGTACAACGAACCCAGACAGTGATTAGTTTTGATAGTTTTAGGAGCTTTTTATCCAATTCTTTGTCCATATTATGTTTTTATTTTTAAATGTTGAACTACATTCTTAAAAAGGTCCAGTGTGTAACATTGTTGGCAGAAATGGAACATAATATTCATGTTTTCATTAGTGTATAATCACCTGAAAATAAGAATTGTTGTTATATGAATCAGCCGTTTTTAAATCGACAGATGCTACAGATAAATTACCGGTAATGGGAAATTTATTACTATGAATTATTGGGACATATTAATAATAATTAGAGCTAGATACAAATATGCGAGTAAACGTAGAGTTAAGTAAACACGCAAAATTTGTGACTTTGGGCGGAGTAAGAATATTGAACTTTTGGGGAACATCTGCACAGATCGGTTTTTGCAGAGTTGTGTGGAGGAAGTGCAGAGAGAAGAGCTGCTGCTGGCCCACAGGACAACCAAACGCATTTTAAAAGTTGTCTGCGCCTTGCACAGCGACACGACAAAGTTCAGACTTTGGCATCATAATGTAGTAACTTCAGCATCATTTCCGTCAGATTATTGACATCAAATCACAGCAAAGTCATCATCGTACAGTCTAAGAAGAAGAGACAGTCGCTCTCTGGCGCAGATACGGTGGATAAAGTAAAGCAAGAGTGAACAGTAGTGATTCAGTAACGCGTTGGTTTTGATCGCTTTGACAGACGTCATTAACAGCGAGCTTCGTTCACAAAAATCTGATTTCTATCAAATCCAGACCCGGCCTCTAATTGAGACCTGTGTTTGTCAAAACGTGCAGGCTAGTAAAGGAGGCCGGCCTCTGTTTGGGACTTATTAGAAGTTTTAGGGTATTAGAAAAGGGGCCTCTGTTGTCGTGTTTTACTAAAGGAGTGTATGTTGAATTAAATGGGATTTTACTGTTTACTGCTATCCAATTGGTGTTGGACAACCGTGAAGTTTCGGTTTCGGTATCTAGTGTTTGTGCTGCCGTTGGCTCACGTTGTAGGAGCGGTGGTGCCGCTGCTTCCACTGCACCAGGACTATCTGAGCCACCACCAGGGTGGCGATGAGGATGAGCACCATCTCTGCGTGCATGGCCTCATGACCCCTGTGCTTCACATGGAGACGCTCATGCTGCACCCTGTGGAGAGGGCAACAACAGATGGAGAGAGAGAGAGAGAGAGAGAGGTTGAAATGCATTATTATATTCTTGTGTTCTTCATGAAAACGTGCAGATTGTGGGTTTACAGTGGGGATATAAGCAGACACTACTCACTTCCAGTTCTCTCTGTGTGTCATTTTCAGCAGGTCGTCCTGTGATACACAGACAGGGACAGAAATAGCAGCTGGGAGGTTTTTGTGGGTCTCACTGGACTTTATGTAGGTTAGTGCTTTCCTGCGCTTAATAACGCTCCGGCAAGTTAAATAACATAAAACAAGACACAATATGTGATGAGAACCAGGCGTTTCTGCTGTTTGTTGTCGCCTCTTTACTGCCACGTCCCAACAGCTGATCTGAACTCAGCAGCTAGCAGGCAAGCTAGGGATGTAAGCTCCCTCTAAACGCCGTCTTTTGCAAATTCAGACGTTAAATCTGTCAGCTTCCAGGTTTCAGAGTGCGCAGACAGCTGCCAGTTTACTTACCTGGGGGTGCACTCCCGCCATTGTTGGCTTTTTAAACTGTCTCCCGGCGCAAACTAGCCGGCAAACAGCTCGGTTAGCGCCGCACTGACAGCAGCTTCCCCCACTGACAGCTGCTCCAGTGCGCCGCTGTATGGAAGGCCAACAGGGTCATAATTCTCAGACGCGAGTAAATAGTGAAAAGTATATGGAAGACCATTTATGCCAATGTTATGGAAAACCAAAAAAAAAAGGGTTTCTAAATCTCCAAATAATAACTTAGTATCAAAATAATGAGAAAGCTTCTTAGTATTTTAGAAATATAGTAATTATTGTGAGATACAAAGTCAAAATGTTGGGGACGTTTCTCATTATTTTGAAATATTAAGTAAAAATATCGAGATACTAATTCAAAATATTGAGAAACTTTCATTATTTTGAGAAACAAAGTCGAAATACTAAGAAAGTTTCATTATTTGAAATATTAAGTAAAAATATCGAAATACTAATTCAAAATATTGAGAAACGTTGTCATTATTTTGAGATGCTAAGTCAATATTTTATTATAATGACTTACAGAAACCTTTTTTCCTGTGTCACATGAGCTTCCACAGATTAAATATAGTATGTCTAGTATCTACTGTAGGCATGGGACAATATGAAAATTTCAAGTCACGATTATCTCTTGGCCAAAATATTGCGATTCAAAATAATCATGAAAATATACATACTAATACATACTGGAACCACTTTACCTTACATTTAAGAAACACATATTTATTGCCTCACAGGTTGCACTTCATCTCCCTGTTTTATTTTGGAATCTATAATAAACTGTAAATCTTCAGGAAATGCATATTCTAGTTTTTATTTGTGTTTTATTTTCTAGTTTCTGCTACATTTCATTTCAACATTAACTTAAACACCAACAGAGTTACAATACGTTATAACAAGTAAATATAATGCTGTCAAGAAGTGGCTTGAATTTACATAAACAATAAAGAAATAAAATGAACCAGACTCATGGTTTTGATTTTCCCCACATTGTTTTATTTTACATTTTTTTGGTGCTAATAACATAGTAACATAACAACGATAAAAACAGCACAATTCACATCTCAGTGTAATAAACAGTTTATGGCTCAAATTACATTTATCTCAAATAGTCTACCTGTGTTTTATGTATGTATTTGAGGCGTAATCACATAATGTTGATTGTGTTTATGATTCAAAATTAAGCTTTTTTCTTAACCAACATGTACAAACAATTATAATGTCGATTATGAAAAACAATTTTCAGATTTAGTTTTAGTTGTTGATCTGAGTTACAGAACCTGCAGGAACCCGAACTTCAAATCACAGGTCTAGCTGAACTGGAATCTGCAAATAATCAACATGTTCATGCTGCGTTTGCACTGAATTCACTGTTTTTCCCTCAGAGTCGACTTCTCTTATCAGCCGTGGATCAAACTGAGCTGATGTGATGAACTGATGTCGTGTTATAGGTACAAGATAATAGAAAGTGCTGTCTCCAGAAAGAACAAAAAGTAAATATAAAGGGTTATATTGTGGCGTCCACGCGGCTTTCTCTTTTCCAAGTAGTGTCTTCAAGATGGAACACGTTCTCCACAGCTCAGAAAACTGCTCTAAAGACACTCATCTCATTCCTCTCACTGACCCAAATTAACAATAATTATTCATAATCCCTAATAATATCTGATTATTGTAATTAGTAGGAGGATAGAAATACAATCAGAGGCGGATCTTGAGAAATATTCATGGGGTGTCCAGAGGGTGGCACTTTAAGGAGTTGCAGGAATATATGCTGATATAATCACAAACAATCACATATATCAGCATTTTCTTGGAAAAAAACTCAACAACATTATTGGGGCACATAAAGCGCTGAATACAATATTCTAAAGGTGGAATTAGAAATCAATAAATTGTTTAAATCTTTCCAAACACACCTTTTTTTAACTGGACACTAAGAAGGGAATCAGCCTATGTGTGTTCAGTTTGAAAGGGGTACCGGGCATTCGGCAGCTGCCACCCCTCTAGATCCGCTCCTGTAAACTAAAGAACTATTAACGTGTTTATATTTTTATTAATATATGAATTAATATGAATATATTATTATTGGGGCTGCACAATGTTGTAAAAACAGACAGATATAACTGTTTCGTGATTCGTGTAAATGATGATTAATGCATCACAATTTTCTGCATTATAAAGCTTTTTGTCTCACATTTTACCTTAAAAATTGGAGCTTCTGTAATTTCATATTTCGAATAATTGTGCAGTCCTAATAATGAACCCCCTTTACCATATAGTTTGTGTTTCATATTCAGGAAAAAAAGGGTCAAACTATTAGAAGTTCTTTTTAGAAGAATCTGCAGTGAGCACTGAGCTCATCCTTTCAGGAGACGTTGTTCTGAAACAGAAGGATTCATACACCCAGGCCCACCTGGATCAGGACCAAGCCAACGTCAGGAATCATTGTGAAGGTCAACAGCCTGTCAGTCAGTCTGAGTCACTGTGGAAACAACCTGAAGAAGACAACCAGACAAAACTGTGATTGACATATTTTTGCCAAACCTGCATCCTGACATCCTTTCACCACCTACCTCCCTGCTGCTGAACTGCTGAACTCCTGTTTGCTCGTTTAATTAGTTAACTTAATTAGAAGTGTCTTACCTAATCAGTCCAGGCCATGGTGATGAGGGTTGGGGCTTCATTGACATACGTGAGCCTGGCAGATCTGCGTCTCCGACTGCCTCCATTACAAACCTGGAAGTTAAAGACAGAGAGAGATTAAATCTGGACTTTAGAGGACCAGCACTGATCCATTCATTCTGGACTGATGCTGCTGAAAGCAAACAAAGTACTCCTCTGTCAACTTTTACATTTCTGTCTGACTTTCTGATTTGCTGATGTTGGCTTCAGGCAAAAGTGATGCAGGTTACGTCAAATGGGTCACGACTAGAAGAGTGAACAAACACACAGTAAACAGAAGGTCTTTGGTGGAGTTAAAGGACGCTCAGCCGCAGTCTGACACATCTGTAAACTGCACTTCTAACTGGATTTTATTGAGCAATTCAAAGAGAGAAGTGGAAGGACGTGGAACGAAAGTCCTCAGCTGGGACCCAGGGAAGCTGTTATTACACAGTATGGTATCTGTGTTATCCACTACTGGTTGTAGTGAGTGAGTGTGTGTCGGGGAGGCGTACTGGGTTGCAGGTGTTGTTCTGTGTGACACACAGGTCAAGTTTGCAGTGCAGGTAGAGGTCAGTAGAGTTCCCGGAGAACTGGAACATGTTGAAGGAGAAGTAGTTGGACGTTCCCTGGCCGTTTCCCTCCACCTTCACTGTCTGGTCAGCGGAGTTAGCACAGCTGCTCACAAACAGGGAAACACACATCACATCAGAGCTCACTTTGTTTTTATTAACGAAATGCCTGCTCCACCTCTGTATGCGCCTTACCCCTTCTTAATAAGATCGTATTTCACACTCCCGTTGGGCGATGCCTGGTTGGTTGCCCAGCAGGAGTCGGTGACAACAGCAACCGAGTTGCCATCCAGCCCATCGGTCTCCAGCTCCACCCAGATCTTCTGGTTCAGCTGGATTTTGGAGTTCGACTCCACAGCTTGTGTGCGGCCGGCGTCGGTGTAGGCCTTCATGGTCAGAGTGTAATTCCAAGTTCCAGATATGATCTGTTTGATCACAGAGCTGTAGAGGGCACACACACACAAAGTCTTCAGCTGTCTTATACTCACAAACCTCCTAACAACATGCTTCACAACACAAAGTAATTTAAAGAAACGATAAAAGCTACCACTCACCTGTGTCTTATTCTCAAGCCCACAGACTTGATGCCTGGCTGAGTATAGAAGCAGGAGAAGTCGATGTAGAATTGGCTATTGCGAATGATGATATCAGAGCTGTTTTGGGTCATGATGGCGTTCTTGTAGATTAATTGGCTGTTGCTGGTCTGTAGGGTCATAGAAATTCAGATGTTACGTCAGTTCATCACCACTCTTTGTATTTCAGCCTTAAAACATTAATGACATTGGTTATCTGTTGACTGGATGGAATGAGCTTCATAGATGAGCAACATTATTTGAAACCAAGCAGGTGAGAGCTGAAGCAGAGCCCACAGAAAGATCCCAAACTAGAGGAGAGCAGGAGGATCACAGTAGAGTGCCGGAAGAAATTTGGCTGCTTGTTGAGAGTAAAGAGGTGGCGGAGACGACCCACCGAGACCTCCGTCCCACAGGTGCTGCTGCTGTTGAAGCTGAAGGTCACCATGTTGGTTAGCTTGTCCATCTGGCCCGTGCAGTTCTGGTCTTTGAGATGTAAGGCCGAGTAGTCGATACCTTTTTCAGCCAGGAGACAGCCGACCAAAGTAAGTGAAGCAGAGTTCTGGCTGCAGACTGTTGGGTCACCTGAACATCGAGCGGCACAGAGGAGGAAATTAAATACACTGACAGTCACAGAAGAAAGACTCAAGTCAAACCTTTCAATCCAGCTTTATTGACGTTTATGTATTTGCTTTCAATCAGAGCTGCTCTGGAGGAAGAAATAGAAAATCTGGTCAATTATGTAGTTGTGTCACAGCCGTCGTACCCAAAGTGTCTGTCGATCTGTACGGGGAGGCAAAAATGGCCCGACAGAGGCAGCCAGTCTTCTCAGCACAGAACTCGTGAGCGCTGCAAATCTTGTCCTGACAGAAGGCCTGAGGGGGGGCTGAGAGAGAGAGAGAGACACACACACACAAAGAAGAATTATAAAAAACTTTAAGATATAAATAAAATGGCACTAAAGAGTTGCCGTCCGTCTCCGACACTGTTCATTGCAGACACTGACCACCTTAATGCTAATTATCACTAACACACAGACCGCAACAACATTTAAATAAATTCTCAACTACTGTGAAAACTGGGCACTGACAGTTTAACAGACTAGAGACAAACCAGTTAGTTTTATATTCTCTCTTTTTATGAGTATTTAAATATTAATTCAATCAGATTGAGTTAATTCTGTTAATGTGTATGCTTCACTGTAAAATGCCTAAAAAAGAAAGTAAAATACCAGAAAATAACAGACTCGTAAAAATACAGTAATTTTCTGTAATTTAAATACAGTTGTAGCTTTATTTTTTAATTACAAATGTAAAAACATGTATAGGTAACAATTAATTTACTTCAGATAATCAGGATTAAATTTAAATTAGAGTGCCGTTACATGACAGTAATTATTGCTGTTTTCACTGATAAAAACTGTATTTTGACAGTTTGCCAATTCTTATAAACTGATATGTTTTTGTTTTTCCATAAACTTCCGTAATTATACAAGATATCTGTCAATTAACAAACACACAACAAACAAACTACAGAACAAATGCTTGTTTTTACTGTTGTCACTAATTTTACATAACATAAATGGAAGATTTTCTTTTTAGGTTTTTAGATTATCAGTCTTACAGCAGCTGACGTTTGACCTCCAGCCCTCCAGTGTGATGTTGTGCAGGCTGCAGGCTCTGGCGTAGCCCTCCAGGAACTGACAGTTAAGGCCGTCCACCACAGGATATTTGCACAAAGTGTTGTTGCAGGCGGTTATGTAGGGCTCTGGGTTGATGTCGCTGTGACAGGCGGTGAAAGGCGCCTCCTTCAGGAGATTACAGCTGTTGCACAGATGTAACAAGACAGAATGAGAGACAGAGGGATGATGTGTTGTGGTACGTTCTATAATTCAGAGTAAACCTAAACACAGGACAGCAGCTGTTCACACATGTGATCAACTGAAATGAACCTCCCGTCCCTCCTCACATCACATGACAAACATTTAACACAGAGATAAAAGTTTAATAGAGAGAAATGTTTCTTCTGCTCACCGCTCAGTCGTCATGTTGCAGTTAATTGTACTGTTAGTAGTCTCATTGTACTGCGTCTCACACCTAGGGGGCGACACACAACACAAGGTCAGGACTCTGATTTGTTCATATAAACCCAGAGACACTGAGTGTTTTGGGCTCAATCAAAGATACATATAGGCTTTGTATCTTTGCTTCAGTCCACGACACAGAGGATCCTTTATTTACCTACAGAACATTTAGAAGTGATGTAGTGGAAATGGTCATGATTGTGAGATACAGAATAAACAAAATATGCTGAGTCAACCAAAACTCCATTCCAGACCAGATTTTTTTAAGGGACTCAATTTAAAAAACCAACTACATTTAAACTCTTTCATCAGCAGTATTTCATGGGTTAGGATTGGGGTCTTACCCGCTGGCACTGTACTCAGAGAGCCTCAATTCACTCAAAGAACTGCTGGAGTTGCCACACAAACCCTGCAGAGATGGAACTTTCCCAGCAGGTCCTGGACAGGTTCAGGACAAAATGTGAGTCAGATCATTGTCAACATTTACATTGGATGAACACAGCAGACAGCTCAGTTTGCATTCCCCGATGCCCCAAATCGGTTCCACAATTGCTTGTTTTATCCCTTGTCCCTTGGTGAGTGGTAGGATTTTAGTTTCTGTACCTTTGAGGCGGATCTGTGCGGTTTTGCCGTCAAAGAAGACAGAAGTGGTGTAGTTGGAGAGTGACACCTTGGCAGTAACTCCAGTTTGGTCCTTGGACAGCTCCACACCGTGAATCAGCTGAACTGAGCTGTTCAGAGTCAGCGTAGTGTTGTCCACCTGCGTCATGGCAGAGAGACAAAGTGGAGGAAACACTGATAGCAACAACCACCGAGTTCAGCAGAATCAAAATAACTGCTTCCAGTTTCACTCAGAAGGAAGACGAGAGCTGACACAGCAGAGGATGGGACCAGGACTTTGGAAGTCCACACTGACATATGACTGTGGGCCACAGTCTGTGGCTGTAGGTAGCTTACCTGAACTCTGCCGTCTTGTTTTAGGTGAATGTAAACACCCGTACTGTTCAGTCGTAGTGTCACGCTGTCCACAAAGCTCACATCTTTACGACGCCGTTCCTGGAAGTTTGCCAGCACCTGCAAGTCTGGGACAGACGGAGTCGACATCAGAGTGTACGCACACCGATCCTGGACAGAGTTCACTTGGCCGTGAATGTCAATAACAGCTGGGCCGCTTACAGTGCAGGTGGAGTCAAACATGCAGCTGATGGAGGCAAAGAGAGACAACAACAAACAACATCATTATGAGCTGCTGCTGAGGGCCACAGCCACCAGGGGGCCCTCAAACACCAAGTACAAGACCTCTGTTCATGTTTGCGTCATATTTACTTAATATTTGATTGTAATGTTTTCACACTACTGGCTCACAGGTCAACCAGCAGAACAAATAAAACTTGAAACAGTCCTCATCCAGTTCCTGCATCGCCACAGCTCCTTCCTCTAAATATCAATCAAACATATTTACGTGTTGTTGCCTTGACAACGCTCTGAGGGGCCACAGCTGAAGTTTGTCACGACTGCAGTCACATCACACCTTAGACCAGAGCAGGATTCTGGGTCAGAGCTTATCACTGCACCATATCTAAACAGAGCACCACCTGAGAGGTGAAGGATAAGGTAGGATCAGGTCAAAAAGCCATAGCTCACTTAACAAAAACAACAAAACAAAAACAAAACAGCAAGATTACAACTTTAATTTTAAGGACTCCAAAATCAGATCAGTGGAGCCAACCTGATTGTCTGCATCCGCTGATGTCGAAGTATGCCTCTGTTTTAGCTCCAGAGCCCGTAGCATTAAATGTGTCCACTTTGGTACCATTGACCAGAGCATCCATCAGCTACACAGCAACAAACAGAACCAACGTTACTATCACAGATCAGAGAAGGCTGAATTCACACATACTAAGATAAATAAGACTCTAATAGGAACAATGACACTTTGTGGTCAAACTCAACAAATCCTACACAAACAGTTTTAACATGTAATTCATTTTATTATCTTAAAAGACATCACACACGTAACTATACAGCCTTTAATTGTTCTGTTTAATTGAATGATATTAAATATACTCACAAATGTACCCGTTTGGTTTGTCGAGTATTTCATAACTGCTTGTGTCCCGATATTAAAAAGAATAAAATCAGTCTGTACAGAGTCAACAGAGGAGATAAAAGACACTATTAGGGTGTTTCCTTGAGAAAAGTTTCAGAAAAGATGTCATATAATATAAATAACTACAATTTAAGTTTTGCTGAGTGAACACAAACAACGGGCAAATGTATCTCGTAAACAACACTGAACAACACTCACCACTACTGTGGTCACATGTTGAACTCTCACAAAGCATGTTTCATTAGTCTTAATGGTTGACAAAGCAGCTTGGATGGGGGAGGGAGAGACCGGGGCTTCTGAAACTATCCCAGCTTTAGCCGACGTTGTGTTGAATGGAGGTGCCACAATACAGTCCTGTCCGGTTTGAGGGTTGAAAAAGCCGTTGAAGCAGACGGTAACATTGCCACTTGTGATGTTCACCTGTTAAAAACAGAGACACACAAGGTAAAATAATCACTTTACTTCACTTTTCAGTCAGAGCTCTTACTCTGACATTCAGATACTCTGTGTTGTCATCCAGCTGCTGCTGTATGACAGGGTAGACTATTTAAATGTTATAAATCTGATCACATGACAGCAGTTAGGGTTTTTACATGAATTCATCACATCATATCAGTTTACTGCTGGATTGAAATCAGCTGATCAGACTTGACTGCTGGACCTGTTCCCGCTGTCACAACCACCAACGTGTTTATTTAACATAACTAGAAATTAAGCTAAAGACAAACTAAATTAAACCAAACCTAACAAGGTGGAAACCACATGGGGAGAGAGAGATAGACTGGCTGATTGTCTCCAGCCTATATAGTCTGCTGAAGATCTGACTCCATCCACCAGGCTCTTGGAGGTAGAGACCAAACTGAAGACACTGAAAACGTGAATCCACGTACACAATGAGAGGACAACAGTGTCTTTATTGATCTGTCAGATGTTCAGACTGTCAGAGCCTCACATAACAATCTGCACCTCCCACTTGTAGACGAAGAATTACAATTAACATTCACATGAAACATGTAAACCAATCAGCTCTTAGATCAAGGGAGAGTTAGGCGTTTCCCATCATGCCCTGAGGTTTTTCTATTGGTGGAGAGACGAGGGAATCTAAAACCTGCAGGAGTCTTGATCTTGTGAGTGTGAATAGCATCAGAGACGGACAGAAATCTAAGAAAACGTCAATAATGACAGAAGATGAAATCATCCTACTCACATAGAGCTGTTCGTACTTCTTTCCATAGAACGTGATGGGACATTGGCTGATGTTCAGTGCTAAAGAATCATTAAAGCCCTGGTTGAGTAGGACCGTCGCGCCTAAAGAAGATGGAGAGAGGTCAGAACGAGAGTCTGTTAGCTGGTTGTGATACTACTACTGCAAACCCTCAACAGATGTGGGTGGAGATTCAAAATGGCTGCAGTGTGTGTGCGCTCACCTGACAGCCCGATGAGAGCAGACAGGAAGAGCAGGGGCCGGAGCATGTTGGAGGAGACCAATCAGCTGACAGAGAGCTGGAAGACACACAGTTGGACATATTTGATTAGACAGAAATCAGAATCAGAATCAGAA